GCGCGGGGGCGGCGGCGCCCCAGCCCAACTTGGCCTCGGCCTCGCCCTCTGCCCAGCCCGCCGGTGTCCCCTCCTTTCCGCGATTCCGTTTCTTCTCACGCTCCCCCCACCCTCCCTCCCGCGTCCAGCCCCGCTCTTCCCACCTTGTAAAACAAAGCCGGGGAAAATGCCTGCCCGTGCAGCTCGGAGCGTGCAGCCCGTCTCTGAATAAGAAGTGAGTACAATGGCGTGTTTGTAAAAGCTTCAAGTCCGTCTTTTTCAAAAAAAAAAAAAACACCATTTTGAATGCTGCATGCCTCATGCTTCCCAGCGCCTCGCGGGAGAGACCCGGCTATACAGCAGGAGGTGAGACCCCCCTCCCCGCGGGTGCCCCCCTCCCCACCTCCCGCCGCGCGCTTTCCGCCGCAGCCAGTCCCGGGAGGGCTGTAAATGTCCAGCTGGCAGCAGTCGGACGTTTTCCACCTTCATTTCCCGTCCAGGGTGTTGGGTCATAATCTGGGGTTGGAGACAGACCTATCCCCGGATCCTCTCCTGGCTGCTTCTCCCCACTCTCCCGCTGGTGCCTAGGGATTTTGCATCTGCCTTGGGTATGGGTTTGGGACACTTGGAGGAGTTTCCGAAGGAGGAGGAGGGTCAGCTCTTGGGAGTAGCCGACAGGCAGGACGCATGGTGACCCTGGTCACACTTGTTGCCCGTTGCGTGGTGGGATAGTCAGTGGTGCTGAAGAAAGCTCATATCTCCTGGTATTGAGTCGCCAGTTGTGGCCGGGAGCGTAGAAGACATACCTGGATGAAGATTAGAGACCAGGATTAAGAGGAGGCTGTGATGTGCTGGGGGCAGAGAAGGGAGGTAGTGATGATGCTGAGTGTGTGTGGAAGGGGTGAATCTTTGACTCTGTGTTCTAAGGAGCTTCTCTTCAGGATCATGCATCAAACGACCAGGAGATGGAAACCCAGAGGATTCCCATGTTAGACCGAGAGGAAAGGCTGTTTTTAATTTGGTATTTCACCAGTTTCTGCCCATTCTGTCTGCCAGATGTGCAACACACACACACACACACACACACACACACACACACACACATCTACTAATTAAAAAATAAAGCAATAGCTCTGAAGAATTGAACTCCATCAGGAAATATATTAGCTTAATATACACACACAGACTCACACACACAAACACACAATCTTTAAAAGAAAAAAAACCTGTCCCCTTTCCCCAAAAGCATGTACTGATAATATCTTAGTTTGGCATTGCATTTTAGGATTGGGATTTGGGAGCATGGAGGTAAACAGTCTTGGTGTTTTCCAGTTCTACAGATTAGAAACCATTGATGTGAAAAATCAGAAATATGAGAGAGCACAGAGAACCGGGAAGGAAAGGCTTAGAAAGCTTCCTTCAGAGAGAGAATGTGGAGCTTCTCTGTGATTCTCTGTTGTTTTTATTCCAAAGATAGCTTAATTTTAGATTATGACCTTTATTTTTCATTCAGACTCACTAAGCAGCTTGGAAGTGGGGTGGGGTGGCTAGACAGCAGATGACAGTGATTTTAACTGTTATCAGCAGTTCTGTTAAAAAGGTTTTAAAAATTAAAACATTAAACACATATCCAGTGCTAATTTTGAATGAAGTCCCCATTATGAATATCACAGGTTAAAGGTGTGGGGCTTTATTTGGAGCCGGGGACTGTAACAGGAGGGAAGCTGTGCACACCTGTAGACGGCAGGCTCAGCCATAGGAAACTGCAGAAACGATCTGTGCATATGTAGAACCTCTACTTGGAGCCGGGGGTACAGTTACCTCATCTCTGACTCTGACTTCCATCTCTTCAGAGTCAGAACCATTCAGAGTTTGGCTGATTGAGGAGCCCTCCGTTATCTGCCATCATTGTACAATACTCAGGTCTGATGCTCCCCATAGCTTTGTTTGCAAAGCTTCCTTCCGATGGGCAATAGGAGATCTATTTCATGAACTCCCACTGTGGTAGTCCAACATTTAACTCCCAGTGGTCGTCAAGAGGGCAAGGTCTGCAGCCACGTGAAAATGGACACTCTTTATTCCCTTCTTATTTTCAAGTAATTTCAGGTTCCTGTAGGGTATTTGGGTGCAATTTCTGAGGGATTTCTTATATACTTACCTAAAAATGTCTTTTTCATTAAGTTATTTTATTAAACTTGTATCATATACACTAGAGTAATTTTACTTATATCTATAGCAATTATGAATGTGAAATTGATGATTCTGGTTGGATTGGCAATTTTTTTTAAGTCCCCCATTTTCAGCCATTCTATTACCCCTTTTGGTTCAATGTTGCCTTTCCAATCAGATACTCTATTGTAGATGGCTCATTTTCCCCTTAGGAAGTAGAAGTCTAGTATCTCTTGAATTTCCTGAGAAGAAATCCATTAATGATATTTTTGAACAGCTGAGATGAATAATAAATGGATTTAGAGTCACCTTAGAGTATAAGGGAATTTGTAAGAGAACACATAAATCCACTCTAATGGAGCAATTAGCTTTGTACAGAGCATGTAGGGTCTAAGGTGTGAGAGAAGGTTTTAAATTTTTTTTTTTTGATAATGTCCACTGTTGAAATGGAAGGAGCTTGTCATCTCTTGGCTGCATCTAGGATTGTGCCAGAATGCGTAGCGATACTTTTGTTTTCTTTTTAAAGATGTCAGAGATTAAATAACAAAATACAGAGAATGCTTACACATGAGCCCGTTTTGGAGGATAGCAAAAAGAAATGACTGAGTTATTGAGTGGTTTATTTGCCATCCTATTTTACCAGAAAATTGCTAATGTTTTACTTTGAGCAACAATGTTTGGATCTCAAATTCACTTACAATACAATTTCTTTATTATAATGAATTTCAAAATAAAAATAGGTAATGTTCTTCACATCTATTGTTTGTGATATCGAATGTCAAGTTCTTGAGAACAAGAATAATCCATTATTAGTCTTCTTTATGAGCATTCAGATACCTAGTTTAGTACTCTCAACTCTTCAGAGCTCTGTAAATGTGCTGACTAGCATGTTGGACAGACAGAAATTTTGAAATTAATTAAGAAGACCTCAGGCATGCTTTTATTTTATTTTATTTTAAGTTTCTTGATCTGCTTCCTGTTTTTTTCCTCCCATCTGAAACCCCAATAGCAGCAGAGAGCTAAGACCCAGCCCCTCTTCCTTGAACCCATGTATGTGGTCCTGGCTGCGATCTAGTGGGAGCCCTTTGGGGTTTGGCTCCAGAGCTTCCACCAGGGGAGCAAGCGGAATTGAGTCAGCCTTTGCTGACCCCTTCACGAAGCCGAGCCATTCCCCCTCTTACCTCCTCCAACCTAACCTTCATTTCTGTTGTTGTCAGTGGCGGCACCCGACTTGCTGGATCCTAAGTCTGCCGCTCAGAACTCCAAACCGAGGCTCTCGTTTTCCACGAAACCCACAGTGCTTGCTTCCCGGGTGGAGAGTGACACGACCATTAATGTTATGAAATGGAAGACGGTCTCCACGATTTTCCTGGTGGTTGTCCTCTATCTGATCATCGGCGCCACCGTGTTCAAAGCATTGGAGCAGCCTCACGAGATTTCTCAGAGGACCACCATTGTGATCCAGAAGCAAACGTTCATTTCCCAGCACTCCTGTGTCAATTCGACTGAGCTGGACGAACTCATCCAGGTAATGGCCCCCAGGAGTTGTTACTCGTTGGCTCTTTGGGGAAAGACAAGTAAGAGTAAGAGACGATAACACAATACAAAGCCCCCTGATCTGCTTGTGGGGGTCCAGTCCACTTTTGTCCTCTTTCCCACAGTTTCTTTTTCTCCAAATGGCGCCCCCTCCCTCTTTTCTTACTTTGCCGTCTTTTCTTCTCCTTCCCCTTTATTTTTCCCTCTTGCTGTTCCTTCTCATCCTCTTCTACTCTTGAGTTTCTGTTTCTTTCCTATTGTCTCCCCACTTTCTTTTCCTTTGCCTTGTCTTAGACCTACCAGTGGACACTTGTGAACTTGGGGTTACCTTGCTGGAGGCCCCCACGGTTAGAGAACCATTGCCGACTAAGAAACTTCGCTGTGGCAAATGAGGGGAAAATAGAGGGCAGAAAAAGTGCAGTAAACATGGCAGTGGCCACGTAAGATAGAAAAGACGTGTTTGTGGTGTGACCCTCTTAAGGTGGGTACCCCTCCCAGTTAACAAGCTGTGGCACACGTCTTTAATCTAGCCGAAGTATGACTCTGATAACTGCCTTTTTTAGGTGTGTAGGGAGAAGTGATTAGTCATTGCCACTCTAGACACCAACTAAAAGCAATTTACTACTACACAGAAAAATGGAGTTTTTGAATAAAAACTAATTTAGTTTTAATTTACTCTATAATAGCAGAACAGTATCCTTAAGGAAAAACACTTTTTAAAAAAAGCTAATCCCAAAATGATTTAAAAATTTCAGTTAGGCTCCTTGGTGATGGCTGTATTTTTGTTGTGGATTTCTTTTTGTTCAAAACAATTCATTGGTCAAACCAAGACTCTTGGTCAAGGAGAAAGCCCTAGAACTTTCTTTCAAGGAGAGATGAGACTGATTGTTGAAAGCATTTTAATTGTACACATTCATCTTCCTATCAAGCCTACTTCTCTTACCTGGTGTAAGTCAAATTGGATTGAAGATCATCTGATTTTCATCAACTGAGCAGATTCTTTCTCATCTTGTACTTGGTTTTGCATCATTTGAATGAGTTGGAATAGTTCTTGTTCTAAGACCTTCCCTTTCTAGTTTCCTCTTGCCAGGGGTCCCCAAATGCTACTTCTGTCCTCCCTCTGTTTACAGAGTTACGCGTACAAGTTCTCGATCAAGTTTTATTGAAAGCTGTGGAAGCTAGACTTCTTCGATCCTCATTTAGCTCCTACCATATTCAGACACTTCTGTATCTCATCTATTTGACTGAAATTTTGAAAAGGCTCTTCAGATACTTAGATACTGAATTCTCTACTATAATGGAAGGTGGTGGTGCCATTTTCAGTATTGACAGTGAGCCTGCCAACTCATATTGGTCCAGCCACCCCATTGCCTGTTCCTGCGTGAGATCCCTTCCACTTCACTCTCCATTTGTGCACAGAGTCCTTAGAGGTACTACAATCTTTGAATAATTCCCACTTCTCTTGGGTTTTAGAAGGAGAGCTCTAGGGTATTTAGGTGGAGGGAGCATGGAGGAGTAGTAAAAGCCTGAACTTTGGGATCAGATAGGATGTTTTAAACTCCATTTGAGTATTTTACTGGAGTTGTCATCTTGAGCACGTAATTTTCCACTCTGAGCCTTAAAGGATCTATCCGGAATGAGGAAAGAATACCCATCAAATCAGGTTGCTGTGAGGGGTAGAGAAATAGTCCCCGTAAGGCATTTGGGTTCTCGTGAAGTGTGAGGTTTGTTTGCTGTGATGTTTTTCCCTCCCCCCTTACCTCTTTCCTGGGTGGAGCATCTAATTCAAGTAGTTGCAGTCTTACCTTTCAAAGTGAGGTCGTTGGTTTTAGGCAGGGAAAAAAAGAAGTCACATTGTTTTTGGAATGAACACGAACGGAGCTCAAAATATGACCTGATTTTTTTCTTTCTGCTCTACCCAGACAATCCATTTTAGCTTTATTAGTATTTACTGCTGACTGAGTATTTTTGCTTCTTAAAAAAATCTTCAGGATTTTTGTGCTTATTCAGTGTTTTTAAATGCAGAGTTTGCCTCATTTATTGTCGTATCACTGACCCTATGGTTTTAATAAATTATTTTTTTTTCTCTTTGAGTATAATTTCTTCTAATAAAAGAAATCTTTTTCATGGCATGGCTCCAAGATCAATATCATTGTTTAATTAGGGAGGCAGGCAAATTAGCCAGTAATCACGTGTTAGAATTACATCTCATTTGTATGATTCCCTCAGATTTCCACATGTATTTCCCATGTTTAGTCTCCCTTTTAATCCTCCCTTAAGACTTCATGAGCAGGTATATTAGGCAGTAATATCACAGTGTTAAGGATGAGGAAGCCAAGACACAGAAAGTCCCAGTGACTTACCCCAAGTAGTATTATGAGGATGAGAGTTTGGGTCTTCAGAATCTTGGTTTGGCTTCATTCCTCGGGGTCTCTGTTCTTTCAGGGCTCAACTTTTTTCAGAGCTGAGGAGGAAAGAGTCAGAGAAGTTGAAAGTTCAGTCCTAGTGTTGGCGGAGGAGGAATTCTGGATTCCGTGTGAACAGCAGGGAAGGAGGAGGAAGTGGGTAGTCAGACAGTAAGGCCATCGTCAAGTACGGTTCATCTAATCTGGCCTCACGCTATTAATTATACCTCTGGGTGGGCGATGGTAACTTCATTCCGTGCTGTGGTTGTGTCTCAGGGTGATGGGGTGTGGGTAGGCTTGCAAGGCGTGGGGGTTGCTACGGGGAGGGACAGGGAAATGGAGTATTGACGCACCTTAGAGTGACTTCCTCTTATGTTACCGAGTGCCAGTATGTGTGTTCCGTCAAAGTGCTGTTTTTGACAAAGGCCCTCTGAGGCAAGATGGAGGAGGAGGGGCAGAGGTATCAAGACAAAGAGATCTTTTCTGGGCTGAAATATTTGGAAAACGTTGATTTTCAACTTCCGTTACATTTAAGTTAGTGTGACATCAATACGGAAAAATATATGGAAACACTTTTAAGTTTCAAACGTCATGAATACCAGTAACAACAGACAAAATTTAATGAGCACTTACTATGTGCAAGGCACTGTTCTAACCCTTTACATGTAATGAATGTCTCACTTAATTCTCTTAAACAACCCTGTAAGGTAAGTGCCTTATTATCTCTATTTAACTTATGTGGAAACTGAGGCAGAGGGAGCTCATTTTCCGAAAAAGGTGGCATGCACTGTTATTCAGACCTAAACGGACAGACTCCAGAGCTTATATCTTCAGTTCCTATATTTTCTGCCTCTAAAAAAAATTTAATAAACATTAAAGTTTGCTGGAATGTTCCCTATTATTCTGTGTATTAGACTGTAATGAATATTGAATTATAGTCCCATGTACAGAGTGATTTATGTTACATAACATCGCTCTCTCCATATACATGGAGAGTATAGTACCTGGGTTTTAATATTCTTTTTGGACATCACTTTCTGGTTTTCTCCTCGTTGAATGTGGTGACCCAGGAGAGGCACAGTCATACTGGATGTACCTGGTTTCCATCTAGTTATTTCCATGTTTGCTGAATCAATTCTGAGATTAGGAAATAGGGCAGAAACCTATGATCTGTATTATACATTGATAATAAAAACATCTCATGGGAGACTTGGCTTTTGTTTTTTTCATTTGAGCTCTGCCTCCCTACCCCCCTACCCTCTGTCAGGAACAGGGGGAAGGTATTCTGTCTGCTTTTTGGGTGAAGAAATGGACATATCTGACAAGGGCATGTGGCGGCCTGGGGTCTAGGTCTTTGGAAACTTCCTGCTGAGGGGATTCTGTTCTCTGCACTGCTCCCTCTTCTCAGTTTTGTTTTTACTGCTTCCTTCAGTGGCATTTATTGAGCACTTCCAAAGTGTTGCCCTTTGGGCTGGGCATTGAGCCAAGTAAAACGATGGGAAGAACATGGCTGCTTGGAAGACACCCTCTCAGTCAGAGTGAAGTGGGGGAGACGGCTATAAACTTAGTTGTAATAGAACTACTTGCAGATTGGAGCCGGATCACATGAGGGAGAATTCACCACCTAAAGAGAGTTGGGAAGACACAGAAGAAGAGGTGAAAGGATTTTAAATGTGGACTCAGAGCTCCGTAGGGGAAGATGTGGGAATCAGTGGATGTTCTAGGCAGAGGGCACAGTGTCACTGAGGTATCTGGGTGTCGGGGCAGGGTCAGAGCAAGTCTGGCAGAGCAGAGCAAGGCCTGTTGTTCCACACGAGGGAGGGGGCTTTATCCGAGGCCCGTTCTCCTCCCCCTGGAGTAGATGTGCCGTTGAGGGCAGTTGGTTGTGTACCAGGGGATACCTGGGGCTTCCTGCCTTCCTAGAATGCTGATGAACTAGGCTTTTTTAAAAAAAAGAAAACCATTGGTTTTATATTAATTCTATCATCATTCATTCATTCATTCAAAAATATTTACTGAATTCCTGCTTCTTGTGCACTGTCCCAGGCACTGAAGTATAGGAGAGAATAAAACAGGTGAAAATTCTCGCCCTCAACAAGCTCACATCCTACTGGGGGAAGGTAGGGTGTTAGATCGAGATCAGTCTCAGGAGGAAAAACAAAGTAGTGAAGAGGGGTAGGAAATGTCGGAGGCTATTGGTGATTAATTTTAGATACGGTCACTGAAGAAGCTTCACTGATGAGGTGACTTTTAAGTAAAGGGAGTGAGGGAATTAGCCAAGGGGCTCTCTGGGGGATAACACTCAGGAGAGGGCTTAGCATCTCCCTGAGACGAGAGCATCCCCTGCAGGCAGAGGGGCAGCAGGGATGCTGGGAGGAGGGAGTGGTAGAAGGCGACGGCAGGCCGGTGATGAGGACCACGTTCTGTATGTAGGGCCTGGTAAGTTACACTCAGGAATTGGACTTTTTGGTACAGATGAGAGTCATGTTCTGGCTTATGTTTCACCAGGACCACTCTGGCTGCTGAGCTGAGAATAGACTGGAGGAGGCCATGGGCAGAAACAGAGGGAGCAGTTATGAGGCTGTCC